GTGTTGAGATTGCGCTGGAACCCCCATTCCCTATACTACTTATATAAGTGCGCGCACGTAAAAAAATCATTTAGAGCGAAATGAAGATGTCAAACAAAACAATAGGATTTGGATTCCATTACAATAATGTTACAGTATAATATTTTCAAGAGTACGTTTTGTAATTTCTCTAAATATTATTATAGGAATTTCAAGTGCAATCATAATATTTTTTCAATATTTGGCATTCCTAAAGAAATTCCCCAAAACAGCTATGTTAAGAATGCCTGTTTTAGTAATGTTATAGCAGTATTTTATCGAAGAATTTCATCAAGTTGTCATGATTTACAGAGGAATTCCAAGAACGATTTGATGTGAATTCTGTGTTGAAGGAAGATATATTATACGAACACGGCCAAAAAAGGTTAAAATTTGCGACAAAGTATAAAAGCCATAAATATATTTTATTTCATGCTAAGTTTACAAATATTGTATTTTCGTGAGAATTTCTGTGAAATATTTATAAATACGACTCCGATATTGAAAATGCTTATTGCAAAAGATAATACAATCTTGTTTATAAGTAATCAAATGACGAAAGTTCTCAAAAATTTTCAGGATTTTCAACAATTTAGATAGGAAAATAATTTTAGTTTGTTCTAAAAAGATAAAAATGGTATATAGTTTAATCTCGACACTGTTCAAAAAGGTTTTTATTTTATTTTATTGACTATTAATATTAAATATATAGCGGCTATTTGATTGACGTTTCGCAAACATGCCAACGTGAATGATGAAGGTATGTATAATGCTCTCTTCGAGGGAACTTATTCATTGAAGTTATTACTCGAGAAAAAATAGTTACGATTTGATTATATAATAAAATGGTTATTGAACCAGAAAATCTTAACCAAAAGGCTAAGCACTTTTTAATTCACGAATAAATATATAAAATTTTACATTGTTTGGAAATGAAAAAGTTTTACGATTTGACCCTCGGGTTAAGCGAATTTACGACCCTTCATTCGTAATTATTTTTGAGTTAGCATTTTTCTTCTTTTTAAAAGTTTTTATTAGCATTTTGTTGGACCAAAAATACTAGTCATTATCTGATATTATCCCTAAAGAAGATTTATTGTGTTAAATATGTTTTTAAAGTATTGTACAAATATCTAATGTACATTTAGAAAACACTCTATATTAAACATAGCAGAAATGTTTACTCTTTAATACTTACTATGGAATACATTAGAATCCATTATTTTGTTGTTTATAGACTTCCATTCCTCCAACATCTCAACCAAATCTTGACATTTAGCTTTGGATAAAAGTCGTTCAATGAACTTTAAGCTTTCCTTTCCATAATACTGGTCAATGACTTTTACCAACACCTCGCCATCACTGGCTTTGTCTAGTATTTCTGTATGAAGAATATCTTTGGTTAAAAAAGATTTGATTAATTGAACTTCTTTTCTTTGCAAACGGCGACCAATGTCTTCTTTAATTTCTTGTAAGGGAGAGAGAACGTTGACTTGGAGTTGGTCGCGTTGGTATTGGAGTAATTCGGCGGCCATGATGATTGCAAAACAACAAACTCACACACTAACAGAAGGTTGTAATTACCATCCAAGGTAGAAGGGATTAGTTAGTCAGACGTACAATCGAGGGCAAAATTTTCAGCTGATATTTGACCTTCAATAGTTAATAGAGCCGTAGGCGGGATTTGATCTGTCCGTAGGTATGCAAGAACTTGGAATGAAGAGTTTTTCCAATTCAACGCCGGGTATCTTTCAGTAAGATCTTGAGTTTCAGCCAGGACTAGGGGTTACAAACGCACCTAGCAAGTACTTGATTAAATAACTTTGATCCATTGGATGGTCCAAAACGACGTATATACAGTAGCAACTCTTGGTTAGTGGGACAGTGGCACCCAGAGGAGTTTAGCCACGCGACCTTGGGGTTCAAGAACCACAACAAACGCCACCTTCTACAGCGTTTTATCTTATCTCTTGTCTGACATTCTCTTGTCTCAGTTGTCTAACAACCAAAGTTTATCAAGATTCCATCCAATTCTGCACAATTTCTGTTAGGAAATACAAGATTAAAGGTATAATTTCTCCAAAAATGTGTAGATATAGTAAAATGTTACAATTAAGAAGCGCCTGTTTTTTTCTAATTTTCACCTTCAAGTACGATCAAAGCCATGTAAACAAGAGATAACTGAGGCTCAATATGCTAAATTTCAAGAATAAAAGAATAAATAGTTGAAAATCTCTTGAGAGAAGGTTCGTTATGCGGCTGGTTAACTATGTGTGAGTGCCAAATGATCCCCAGGGGACCCTAGAAGGGATGTAATTTACCTTGTACTCACGTTCCTTGAAGAGGTCAAAACGTGGAACGCCTTGTTGTTAATGCCATTGCTAAGGAATAACATAAAGAATTTCTAGTGGAAAACATTGAATGATTTCCTGAATAACCTAATCAATGGGTGTTTATTTTAAAAGCTTTCCTTGAAAGCAATTTTCTGGAAAAAAGAAGAATGATTGACTTGCTGGAATCGTTACAGGAACTTTTGCCTGAAGCGCAACTCCTAAATTTAATACTCGTTCTTGGTGCATTTTGCCAACTTTTCAAGCTAGAAATTATTTTAATGAAACAGCATTAACTTATAAACAAGTTCACTATATTCATGGCTTCTGTAAAGAACGAAAGAGTGCAGTTTAAGCGCGAGCTTGCTGATGGAAAAAGTTCTGTAGAACCGCTAACACTGACTGATTTGGAAGCAGAGGACCCAACAGATGAATCAACTCAACTGATATCTCCCAGAGATCTGGCGCAGATAAACTTTAGATCACTCATTGGCCACACAGATGAGGTTTGTCTCTGGACTACTATGTCTGTACTCATCAAATGGCAGCCATGCTTCTTGGATATAGTTTGGAAACAATTTTTTTTTTATCATCATGAAAACCTTTTTTTTGTGCACCAATTCATGAATTAAAATATCTAAAAACCAATATAGCCTGTCATAGACTTTTCTCATAAATAGCTGCCAAACGTGGTTTGGACTATGGACAATTGAATGAAAGTGAGGTCAGAAAGGCCTCATTAGTAAACAAAGTCTACTCAGTAAGATCTCTTATGACAAAGTCATTCATCTCACCAATAGACTCCTTCACATTTCCCTGCACCATCTTGAAAAGTAGTCGTGCCTTTGCATTGAAGCGAGACGAATGGTGAGCTTGCAGTGATAGAGACCTGTGAATAATTGTCCAAGGTGTAAAAGGGGTCTCTATAATTGCAAGCTCACCATTCGTCTCGCTTCGATTCAAAGGCACGGCTACCTTTCAAGATGGCGCAGGGAACCGTAAAGGGGACTATTCGAGTCCTTTTAAGCATCTCTTGAAGTAAGGGTGAATGACTTTGACACATAAGGTAGCACTCAGTAGACTTTGTTTACTAATGAGGCCTTTCTGACCTCGCTTCCATGCAATTGTCCCTAGTCCCAGCCGCGTTTGGTGGCCATTTATGAAAAAGGTCTATAATATTCCTTTTTCTCACTCAGTGAATACCACTGTGATCCTGGGATTATTGGAAAATCATTCCAGAAGGAATTTGTGATGTAAAGAATGAGAAACTTGAAAAATACCAATTTTTTTCAAACCTCACAGACTTTTACAGTGCAAATCAAAAGACGATGGGCACCTAGTAATATTTCAAGAATGTTTAATAATCAATCAGAAGCATTACTGTTATTTTTCTGTTATCTTGCGGTTAGAAAGTCAATTCTGATTAGCCAAAGAACAATAAATAATTCCTGGAATATTTCTAAGTGCCCACGGTTTTTCGATTCACACTGCAATGGTATCTATTAATAGCTGACTTTAAAATAATGAGCCTAAAATCATAGTAATCAGAAACAGCAGTGCATGTGAGAGAAAGTACTATTTTATGATAGTGCACGTGATTTCAGAGATTTAACTTGCAACTTTTAACATGTGTACTATTTCTTCAGGTAAATACTTGTTCATTTTCACCTGATTGGTCAAAAGTTGCAACAGGAGGCGATGACAGTTTAGTAAAACTTTGGGATTCCAAATCAGGTAAAGTCCTGTTCACCTTGGAGGAACACCAAGGTGCAATCAAGTGTGTGTGCTTTTCACATGATGGACAGCTGTTTGCCTCTGCTTCTTATGATCACACTGTTAGAGTATGGAATACCATGACTGGAAAACAAGTTTACTGCCTTCAAGGTATGCTAATCTGCTGATAAATATACTGAATATGCTGAAACTCTTGTGAATAAATTATTCATTTAATTTAAGGGCACACCCATAGTGTTGAGACATGCTGCTTCTCTCCTGATAGTCAGTATCTTTGTTCTGGATCTTGGGACAATTCTGCTGTTGTTTGGACTTTAAAGGTAAAATGACAATCATATGGTGTAATTATAATATTATAATAATGATAGTGATAATTACGGTGATGATGATGGTGGTGATGACATCAATGGTGACAATGATAATAATGAGGATGATCTGATATGATGATGATAATGATGATGGTAAATGATAATGATGATGACATAATGATGATAATGTTAATGATGATAGAGATCAATGATGATGATGATGATAGTGATAACAGTGATAATGATAATATGTGCTACCAAGGCCTATATAGTGTTGTGAAGACAACGTTCAATTCTTTCACTCATATTGCAATACTTTTGTTTACATTTCCTTCTCACATGCACTAAATTTTCTGAAAATACTTCTAAATTATGAAATTATCATCATTTTAAAAATGTGGAAAAAAGCCAAACTTGCTACATAACTGTCTAATTTTGAAATAACTGGTTAAAAAAGCCAGAGGACTGAGGCTGTACAGCGAGTATAATCTCATTGCAGATTGATTACAACAATGCCATACTTATACTTATTATAAAAATCACAAATAAATTTAATAGTATGTTAGAAATTAGTCCAAATAAAACAATATTGCCTTGCTTCTTGGCTGGCCATCTGCTTTAACAGTCAACAAACGCTTTGTTACATATGAAACTTTCATTTGTTACCAACGTCCATTGAGTGTTCTATTCAGTCAATGCTAAAATGCTAGATTTTGTATGGCAAAATTTTTTTATTTTTTTAAAAAATTGAATTTTTTTTGCTTTTGAAAGGGCATGGATAATCTTAATGTATAGCAAAAACATACCCAACTTTTAAAAACTGATTTATTTCTTTAGATTCTGAATTACAAGGGTTTTTTTATTTTTGGAAAACTTGGAACCGAGCATGCGTGGAATGGACTGGACTTCGGTTTAGTGGATTGTGCGGATCGAAAAACGTTTTTACCCTGAATTTGCAGTTGTTATTCTATAATTTTTATTTCAACATTCAAAACTAATAATTCCATATCAAAATAAGGTGAAAATAACAAGATATTTTTTCCCATTATTGATAAACTTATTGGATCTTGGATCATGAAACCTCATGTTCCTCATCTGCCCATCCACCAATAATTCAACGCTAGTACCCTTGAAACTTTTTTTTTATACTAGTGCTATAACTGTGTCTTATATATCTATTTCAGTCAGGCACTCCTGCTTATGTGCTAAGTGGACACAGAAATGTTATCCAGACTTGTGCATTTTCATTAGACAGCAAGAATGTAGTAAGTGATGTTTTTTGATATTTGTAGCAGCATTGACCCCCCCAAAAAATTCAATTTTATGCAAGCTCTCAGAGATCTGTAGAACCCAGATAATAATTAAATAAAAAAGTATTAATTGACAGTGGTATCTCATATAAAGCTTATAAAATAATTGGGTATAGACCACTTGCATGGGACGTCAAAGCCAATCCATCCGGTGGACAAAACAAAAGAATTCCAATCTCATTAGAATTGGAACCTATTGTTTTGTCCCCCATATTGAGCTACATTCCAAAGTGCTGCAAGGGGTCTATATCAATTATATATACAGGTAAAAAGGAGAGGGCCCAAGTTTGACCTCTGGGGCACCCCACAATTATGCAATCTGGAGCTGATTCCTGCTGTTTGAATCTTACAGGCTACAGGATCATGGGATTGTACAGTGCGCATTTGGTCACTTGGTGGTAAAGATGTCAGCGTGAAATGTTTGAAGGGGCACAAGAGTAATGTTCATGCGACAGCATTCTCTACTGACCATATTCTTGTAAGTTATAATATACCTAATTAAGTATGTATTAGCTGATTGTAGTTTGCTATGTACCATTTTATTTCCAGCTTCTATGTACTATAAATTGGACTGGCCGACAATGATTTTGCAATTGAGTGTATGCATTGGTAAGCAATTATAAAGCTAATGGATGGGGTAGACGAGATTCTCAAAAAGCAGGGCATGGGTAAGAGTTGGCTTTCTAGTGTTATCTTGACACTTGATCACATCTTTATCTGTGACATCTGTGACAGCATCCCAAGGGGGGTTGGGTTTATTGAGAATGCCACTTACTAAGAATGTGATATCTGTTTGTACAGGCATCTGCGTCATGGGACATGACAATTAGATTATGGGACTCCAAGACAGGAGAGCTGATGCACATCCTGACAGGACATACAGGCTGGGTACAGGTAAATGGTGGAAATTATGATATTTATCATTATGATGATGAGATGAGGATAACATATAATGATGATATTGATGCTGTTGCTGATAATGATAATGAATATGGTCATGCTGTTAATGATGATGATAATAATGATAGTATTGATAATATTAATGATATTGATGCTGCCATTGATGATAATATTAATGATGATATTGATGCAGCTAATGATGATATTGATGCCTCTGCTAATGATGATAATGATTATGGTGATGTTAATGATTATAGGAATGATAATAATACTGATGATTATGCTCTTACAGCAAATTAATGAAGAATTTCAATTCTTCTCAATAGGCTTGCTCATTCAACCATACTGGAGAACTTCTTGTCTCAGCTTCAGATGACCAAACAGTACGTTATAAGATAAATTTTAATTTTCGTTAGTAGGTTTATGCTTAAGGTAATTAGACCTCTCACCCTTATCAGAGAAGGCCTTTTCTGACATGGGTGAAATTGGAATGCTTGCACCACAGTTTCTTGCAGTTTAAAAATGTCTTTGCTCTTATTGTTTTGTACTAAGTGAGTCTCTCTTTTTTAGGTTCGTGTCTGGGATACAAAAACTGGTAAATGTATAAAAGAACTGCAGGTAAGATGAAGATTTTTTCCATTTAGGATTGCCTATGGTAATCAAACTCATTTCTCATATTCTTTTGAAAAGCATTTGGAAGGAATACTTGCCTGGTCTCACGTATCAATATCCATCTTAAACTTTAGGTTGGGCGTAATTTTTCCCCATTTCAGACCACGTGTCATTCTCTTGAGAATAAGATTCTTTGTTTGAGTTGTATCCATATTCATTTGTCTTCTCATGTGCAACTGTTAAACAAAGAAAAAATACTCCAGGGAATGACATCAAGTCTGAAATGGGAAAGCATTAAGGCTAAGCTAAAGAGGCCATTTGTTTTGTTATTCATTCAGTGCAACACTGATGAAGTCCACACCTGTTGTTTTACCCCAAGTGGATCGTTGTTTGCGTCTGGACCAGCTGAAGCCGAGACAACCATCTGTATTTACTAAACTCATGGTCAGTAGACTTTAAAACTATATAGGTGTACCGTGCCGTGCCATAGGTAAACTGTGACGTGACGGCGCCGTGTATGAGATTCTTGCTTAAACAGGCTGTTGTTGTAGGCTGGATGTGACTCGATGTAAGCCAAAAAAGGGTGATGTCCCGGCACGTAATCCTTACCGTAACATGTACAACAATCTTGATGAGCAGTGTTCTCATGGGCTGAATTAGGGGCAATGGATGCCAGTTAATAAACTACGCCCAAAGGGTAGCATGGCGTGACCGTGACTGCACCATGTACAAGAATTTTAATTGGACGATTAGCAATCTCAGACTGGGTTTTCCTCAATTGACGGTTGGTCAATAGATTATTTAACATACAGTAGAGAGGTAGCGCGCCTTAGCAGTGACGGCGCCAGATACAATAGTTTTAATTAGATTATTAATCATCTCACAGGCTGGGTTTGCCTGTATTGGTGTTGGCCAATAGACTACGTAACAGTAACAGTAGCAGTAGAGAGGTAGCGTGACGTGACCGTGATTGCACCATGTACGAGAATGGTGATTGGATGAGTAGTTATCTCACGAGCTGAGTATCCCTTAATTTATGTTGGTCAATAAATTTTGTATCATACAGTAGGTAGGGGTAGTGTACCGTGACCGTGACGGTTCCGTGTATAAGAATTTTTATTGGATTATTAGTAATGTCACAGGCTGGTTTTGGGTTGTTCAATAGATTATAAATCTCACAGTCAAGTGATGGTATACCGTTGCCCTAACAGTACTGTGTACAAGTATTTTAATTGGATGAATAATGATCTCAGGAGCTGGGTTTTTCTCAGTTGACGTCTGTGAGTAGAATGTGTAGCATACAGTGCAGGGGTGCCATGGCCGTGACGTCGACGAGAATTTTCATTAGATTAGCAGTCGCAGGCTGAATTGCACGCTTGGCTTAAAATCAGTATCGTCACATGCCGCAACAAAAATGTAAAAAATACTATACTTTCATTCACCATTTCTTTCCTCCCATTCCCTTAGTTCTCTGCGCATGCACTGTAACAAATAAGTATTCTTGTTCGTGAAAATTTAATAATATTCCTAGCTATTTTTCTAACACTACGGTGAAGTAGCATTCTTGGAATTCTCTTTCTAAAAATGGCTATCCTACTTGTCTCTTTTCGAGTCTTTGAGGCACTACAGCCGCGCTATCCCGAACCGCTACCGGAAGTATAAAGCATGTGCAGTCGACTAATGTGAAAGACGCCATTTTTTTTTTCAATTGCGGTTAAGACGGGAGTCTCTTCGCAGTCACCCCTTATAGTGACGTCGTCTTCCCTCATGGTCACTATTGCTGGGTTTCGATCGACTGATAAACGTCTTTGAATCTCATCTGCTCTAAATGGTGGTCAAACACTTACCAACATGTGTCGTCAGTCAGAAAAACTTATATTGAACACTTGCGATTTAAATGATTAACGTTCGGCATGAGAAAAGAAATGATGTCAAATTGGTGAAACCCAGCAATTGCGGTAGTAGGGCAAGATGCTTATACTTATTCAAAACAGCTTTTGTTATTACAATGAGTAATGACGAAGGTCGAACTGAATAAGGTAACGCAAGCTCACACCGTGTTTAAATTACAGACTCACTCCGACTTTTACTGCTAAGAAAAATGTATGATATGCGAAATAAATTATAGTTTTACAACTTTTCCATCTTCAAGATTGTACTTTAAAATCTCTTCGTCAAGATGCATTCAGGGTTCATCGTCTTTAGAGAGAAATTCAATAATAAAAGTTTCAATATTTTATGTGCTTTTCGTAAACATAAGTTAGTTCCGATTATGCTATTAACATTGAGAGACTTTTCTTTCTACACTGTTCGTTTTAAGTCGTAGGAAGATCAAGTTGCTTGTGTAACCACAAAAAGGACAACCATATTCTTTGTTTCAACTGCAGTCATGAGTGGAGAAAACTTCAGACAAACTTGTGCAGCTTATCACGTAACGTTCATTTTTTGAGCGAATCGAAAATCACTTGGATTTTTTGCGCACAACTTCCACCGCGAAATCAGGTGCGCGATAACCTCTCCCATTACCGCGGCTTCAACAATAAAAATCTGATAGTTATACAATCTACAAAACAATCAAATAGCGATATAAAGACTGATGTTCGTAAGGTAGGTTTTCTATAGTTCACATCTTTATCAGAGAGCGACGACTTAAAACTTTGAAGTTCAGAATTCACAAGACGACAAGCTGCGGGAAGCACGGTCAGCAAAAGTGTACTGTTCAAAAATACTGGTACTGTAACAAAATCGTACAACTTGAAGCGCAACACAGTTGCGTTTGAATTGTCGATCGACGTTGCTGGTATTAAAACTTTGCGTAAAAACGTGCGCAAAGAATGGCTACATCACATGAAAAATCGCTTGAATTTTAAAACATTTCCCCTGCCATCCCGATACAGTTTAGTCTATAACCATAGGTTCATTGTGGCGTCTCTTGGGTCCAGAATGGGACGCGCTGTTGTCTTGGTTATGTGGCCGTTTCCCAGGCAACGCGCTCGTAACATGCTTATCCACGCTACTTTTTGGCGCTTCCCCATTTGCGCTAAACTGATTTAAGACGTTCCGAGGGACTAAGACCGGCGTGTTGGCCTGACTCCCTCCAGTCGACTTAATTAATTGCCTCGCGTCCTCTATAGTAGGAACTAACACTACTATGCCTTGTGGGATGTCCTTTTTACCTTGGCGTGTTCGAGAGAGAATATTCGGTCTCTTCGTAGGCGATGTACAAGAAAGAGGAGGATTCGCTTCGTCGTTACCGATTTGAGCCACGGAGTATGTCGTAACAAGCGAGAGATCCGAGGACTTGGATTCGGAATTATGAACGCAAGAATTCCTTGAAGACGTTATTTTATCGTTAGAATGAGCCGGAGATGCAGTAGGCGCTAACCTAGGAGTATCAGTCTTTGATTGATTTGATTGGACAGCCGATGTCATCGGGGTGGCATGCGATATCCGTACGATTCCTGGATTCGACGTATACTCCAACGATTGGCTACGTCGCATTTCGTTCAACTCTGTCATTGTAACCTGAGAATTGAGTGGAGTAGCTTTTAATGCACGCGTTGAAGACCTTTTAGGAGATATTGGCGATGATTGTATATTTGGAGATTCCGCGTCTGTCACGAGGGAATTTAATAAAGACGGCCTTGCGCGACGCGTCGAGCTACTTCCTGTCACCTCTGAGTCCAGAGAACCCGAGTCTCCGTCAGGGTGTTTATGTAAGGTAGTCGGGGAATAAACAGCGCTATGATCTTTTTGTTTGTCTCGAACTGTGCTCTCTTGTGAGCTTCTCCTTGAAATGCGAACAATTTTATCCCCCAATGGATTGGCATCTTTCGACTCATCCAAACCTCGAGTGGCGCATTTCTCCGAAATGGACGATTCTGATGGACTCCGCGAAGACCCTTCCGACGCCATCGAACTTACAGACGAGGACCTCATCGTTTCAACAAGTTCTTTCTTCACATCAGCGAGAGATGTGCTCGCAGTTTCGTAACCTGATAGTTGGCTATCTTTTGAGTTACGTCTTTCGTAGGAACTTTTGTCGTCTCGACTAGATGTCCATTTTTCTTTTTCCCTGGTTGGAGTTCCAGTAGACGGAGGGCTGTCCGCGAAGTAGCTGTTACCAGGAACGACCAGAAAATCGGGTTCTAAGGTTGCTGCTAGCACTGGCGGTGGGACCTTCATTAGTTCGGGGAGTTCACGTTCTGCATCGCGACCTGGAAGGCAGGAAATGGTGTCAACAGATAGTTGGTCTACAGAGGTTGGATAGGGCTGTTTCGTATGTCTTTGAAAACTGAATTAACCGTAAAGACGTCCCGTGCCGTGAAGATGCCCTGACCCAGCATTCTGATTGGATGATGAGTAAGATAATCAGGCGCGCTATGATTGGCTAAACGAATGTCGTCAATTCCATGCGCTGACAGTAGCGCGTGCGCGAAAAGATCGGAAAACATCTCTACCCGATACCGTAGATGTGTTCTTCACTCATTAAACCAATTCAAGGGCCCCCTAAGACAATAATAGCGAACTAATCACCATTGCAGCAGTTTTCCCAGTGGAATAAAAATTTTGATCCACAATAAACGACTACACAGTATCTGTCTAAAAGGATTAAGAGACTTTTTTTTTTATTTTTAAAGAACAGTAATTAATGTGCGAGTACACCAACCAAGGCCACCCAGGCAAGTTTCCATACGAATTAGGCAATCACGATTGAGTATTTAAACAATAGAATCTGTACAAATTTTCACATTTTCCTCTTGAAAATCATATATTTTACTTTATACGCGTGTGTGTATGATCAGGAGTGAACAAGAAACAGTTTAAGATCCAAAATTCACTCATTCATCTGTTCTGCAGCGTTAAACATGTGGTGTGTGATTTGATTTAGAATTTGTTTGGGTGGCCTTGGTTGATGTAGTCGCACTTTAATGGGAAAAATTTATAAGCAATTTCCCGCTATTAGAGTTTTAAATTCTAAGATATTCTAGCTTATTTACTGAGCTTACTAAACATAGGAACGGTAACTACGAGGAACGGTAACTACGAGGAGCGGAACGATGAATTCTCTAAACGTTTTCAAGTAAAGTAATCAAGTAAAGTTATAATATACCTGCTTGATTTTCTTTCTTTATGGGGCTCATGTCTTGTTTTCTGGTCTTACGGCCTGCTGCTGCTAAGATTCCTGTACCAGACGCCGTATATACGGGATGTGGGACAGGTCCTTGAAAACAATAGTTAAGGAACTCATCAAGATCTGTATTATGCAAACGTTTCTTGTATATAATCGAAATAAGGTCATAAATTTCATAGATGTACGCAGTTTACTCTCATGTGAATCCCCGCCATGTTGTAGGACAAGATAATAATAAAACAAATCCTGTCCAAAAACATGGCATTGTTCCTGCCCTCCAATTGGCTGCTGTCGCGTCAAACCCTTTATCGACATGCCGTCATTCGAGCGAAATACAACTTCCGGTTTCAAAACAAAAAGTAATCCTATGAAGATTTTTCTAGCCGTTTTCCTCGTAAAAGAATTTTTGCTGAAAAAAATTTTGCTCGTTGGAGCTAGGAGATAAGTTTAAGGTCATATTTTTGGCTTAATTTTCGTGGTCTGGGATGAACATTTGGTCCCGGAAACACGTCACAACTTAAAAAATCATCTGAGGTTTCGCGCCATTTTACTGGATGAATGACGCGTGTGGTCGTTTGGGAGCCCGTTTTGTTGCAAAGTAAAGAAAAAAGTAAAATGGCGGCTCTGAAGAGTATCTTGTCTTTTCAACCAAAAAAGGTAACTAAAATACTTTAAAATCAAGCAAAAGGTACCGTAAGTTTGTCTATGAGTGTCGTTAATAAGTCTTTGCTCTACTTGGGTTCGTAGTAAAGCTTTTATTTTAAGTTTTCATTGACTTTTTCGCACCTGATCATAAAGAGCTGCGGACAAGTTTAGAAATATTCTGCACTCTTAAAAAAATTATATTGCATTGCGTATTGCTGGGTTTCAATCAGCTGATAAAGACCTGAGCTTGAAATCTCGTAATATGCATTATCTGCTCCGAATAGTGGACAATCACTGACCACCATTTGCTCTCACCAGAAAGAGTTGTGTTGAATGCTTGCAATTCAGCTATGAACGTTCCACATGAGACAGGAAATGATGGCAAGTGAAACCAAGATGTAGACATTTTAGCTTTGGCGTTTGTTTTCCCATTTTAGATCAAGTGTCATTCCTTTGAGAATAGGATCCTTTGTTTTATTTGCAACCAAAGAATTGATACTCAAGGGAATGACACATAATCTCAAATGGGTAAAAAACTTACACTCAAGGTCTATTGGCAGATAAAAAATTGTACTTCTTATTGCACCTATCATCTGCTTCCCCATGAAAATAAGCCCCCATTCATCCAACACTGAGGAAAAAACATTCTTCAATGTTCCCAGTACTCCCCCCCCCTTTCAAGGGAAAAGGGTGATGACTATCCTGTAAGCAGTCTCCTTAATTTAGGTAGGTCATGATCGCGACCATGCTGCAAGCTGTACTATGTCTCCTTTAATAGTTTTTCTTGCTCAAGCAAAGGAAAAAGGATATAAAGAGGATTTGGCTCACAGGTGCATTAGATTAGAAAAATCACATTAAAAATTGATTTGTTAATTACATGGTAGCACTATTTTATCTATATTGACCTACCCGTAAAGGGCATTGAAGAGCTGGTACTTGAACTTCTAAGAGATCTAGTAAAGGAGCTAGAAGTCTCTGAATCTATCCTTTCGTCATCACCAGCATTTTGTAAAACATCAATAACTTGTAGAAGCTGTGTTGCTATGGGTGATGTAGACTTGGAGGAATTACTTATTGCATTTGTTGTTGCATTTGATCCAGCATTTGAGCAGTTTCCATGGGGACTTTCAGGACGATTTTCATCATCCTCAGATCTGGGTGAAGTTTCAACATAAGTCGGGCAAGAACACCTTCTTTTCTTTTGACAGTCATAGCCATCATTTGAATAACCAGCCTTTGATTCAACATTAGCTTCATCATTTTCATCCTTGCAGGAGCCCATTAGAGATGCAACTTGTTTGTCATCAATTGGATAAACAGCCTGGCCAGGATGAATGGTGATAATTTGCTGCCCCTTATCTGTACACCCATGATCCTGGCCACTTCTAAAAACAGGCTGCCCTCCATTAGTACATGCTGAACAAAGGCATGCCCCCCCTTGGTGTTGTGGAGGTATACTGTAAGAAGTCCCTGGTTTATCAATAGAATACAATGGCTGTCCATTGCTATCAATAACAATCATGTGATGGCCATGCAACTGAACTTCCCTTTGTGTTCCATCATCTATTGAAGCTATATAATCAACAGAGTTTCCTTTCTCAGAAATTGATTTCTTATTTTCCTTTCTTTCTATTTTATCTATAGTTGATTGAGCTTTAGTGACTTGGTCCTGAAGGATATCTAGAGTGTCCATGGCATGTTTCATTTGGTTTTGCAAAAGTCCAAGACATTGCTTTGCAAATGAAACATGCCCTTTTAAGGAGTGAAGTAAATCTTTCCCATCAGATGATGAAGTATCATTGACTGTTGTTTCAGAAGTAGAACTTGCTTTGCTGTTATTTCCACCAGTTGATGCTGAATCAGTCTCTGTAGTTTTTGCAGTACTCATGGTTTCTCTCCTTCATTAGACCCTGACATTCACAAAATGAAAAAGTCATTAGTTCCAAGTATAAATGCAAAATTAATACTCTAAAAATTCCAACGAAAATTTTTTTTAAACCATTGAGAACAAGGTTTTTTCTCAACATTTTGATGCTATCTAGTATCATTTTCAGTTTGTTTGAAGTCAATGAATGTGGTAAATTTATAATGAACAGAATTCTTGTTTCTAATTCATTGAATTGGAAGTATATTATTACTTATGAGTTACACTAATAAATTAATAACAACAGCCAAGATTAGGCTAATGAAAATTGACTTCTATAAAACATGTAAGAAGTAAACAATTTTTTTAGGCAAAATTCGGTTATAATTTTGTATAGAGGACACAATACTAAATTCTTAGTGTTAGCTTGGTTCTATTGTATAACTTGGAGGCTATTGAATTACGTAAAACACAAAGTAAGAACCCTAAATTCTGTTAACACTGATGGTAAAATATTAAGGCAGTTTCTTAATCTTGCAATTTGAAGTTTAGATTATACTTTAGATTCTAACTTTTAAATAAAAAGTATCAACTAAAGTCTTGGCAATCCTAGATATTTGGCTGCCAATCTGTTGATTTTGGATGTTACTGTTTCCCTTATAAATTAAAGATAACTTTCTCGAATTTGATGTGAAAATTTAATTACCAGGCCAAAATGTTTAGTTGCACTGGCAAACAATAATGTTTGAGCCCTGTGATTTCACCAAGAGGGTGTCAATGAAATGCTTCAGTCTGCATTTTTTAGGTATGCAAACGTTACATGGATTAGAGAGAAGTTGAGACAATAGACCTTTTTGGCTTGGGTGTCATGTTTTCCCATTTCAGATCATATGCCATTCTCAAGACTATAATTTCTTAGTTTAATCGTTGTACATGAGAAGATATATGAATATGGATACAACTCAAACAAAAGATTATTCTCAAGAGAATGATACGTGGTCCAAAATGGGAAATTTTTACAATACGCCCAAGCCATTTAGAGATCACAGGCTGAATCTTACCACACTTGCTCAATAAAGTTAGAATTACTGAGAATAAGAGCTAATGAAGATTTCAAATGGTTGGTTACCAGTCATGACATAGATACCAATCAAGTTACCTGTCATGTTAAGAAAAAAATTCTACTTCTCACCAACTTCAATATTGTGGCCTAGTATCATAAGCAGTTTCCCAAAATGAACTAATAAAGCTTTAAATAAAATAAAATAAACATTTAACTTGTTCAATCTAATTTAGATTGATCATGATGGACCAATAATCTATAGATATCTTATTGATTACAATATGCTGGTGTATTGTAGGGTGGCTCTAAATGAAATTACACCATTATGCCTTCACAAGTATATAGTGAATTAATCAGACTGTTATTGGATGAAAGTCTGAGAATGGTGATGAAATTAGTTGAACCTAAATTTTTAATTGAATTGTTATGAGAAAACATTAGCAATATAATGGAAAAGCAATTCTTAAAATTTACTACGAGTTAATTTTTGAAATTGATGACAGACGCTGTAGCATTATCCAATGGAAAATATATACATTTCCATGTAGGTTAATAGAGGCAAGATAATTCATGATATATAATAAACACTAGTATCAGTAGTAAAACAGAAATAACTGATAACAAAACCAACAAAATAAGTTTTCTATTCTAAATGTGCCGGTTCAAATTCTGTTAATTAAAAATTAACAAAAAATCATCAATCAAGCTTTGTCATATTTATTCTGTTCTAAGCATAAAAACCTTGACAATCTTGACAAGGATGTGCCTTATTCTATTAAGTCATATTGAGGAATTCTTTCATATCAGAGATAATAGCAAACACCAAACTCCTACTACTATACTCTACATTAATGTTTTGAAGCTACGATTACAAGTTTTTATGGCTGCAATCTTGGTTGAGCTTTGCAAAATATTTATCAGTCTCTTTTTTTGAGTTACACAACATGGTTCAAACAGGCTCTTAAATACTCACTGAAATCATTGGGGTTTTTAAAAATTGGTCTTGTTAATCTATAATTATAATTTATATTATAGTTTTCATTAAGAATATCAATTCAAAATTCTTCTTAGAAAAGGTGATTTTTGCATACAATACAATGTAGTTTTGATTCTAATTTTGATGCCTTTTAAAGTCAAAATTATTTATCTATATCTTGTTTTAGCTACATGTTTTATCTTATGGTAAAAAAGGGATAAAATTTGCTATCAAATACTCTTAAATTTAGAAATAATAATAATTTATTGAAATGATAAGATGCACATTATATAAATGACAAACAAAATGTGAAAACTCAAAGAATAAAAAAGGTGGAAACATAAGATTCAAAAAACACTTAAAATTTATGTATAAATATATGTATTAACAGTATAATCATAGTACTTCCTTAAAAGATGCATTTGATATATAATACATCTTGAAATACAAATAATACTAAAGAATAAATACATATAAAGAAATATGTTCTGCCAATAATCTTCATTTTTTTATTTTTAATCTGATTTCAAAATTCTTTCAAATAACACTTATAACAATAGGTATGGAGCTGGGACAATATGTTGCAATATAAAAATCTGAAATCTAACAGATTTTGAAAAATAGATCAATGTAATGATTGCCTACAAATGAGATGCTACTTAATTGGTAGACTAGACTCAACAGCTGGATAAAAACAAAGTTTTCTCTCTAGTAAAAGAATAAAGATTTGTTTCCCCAAGGCCATGGATGAAGGAAGGGGCAGAAAAAATATTATTTCCTATTAAATTTATAATCCTAAAACCGTAATAAATGTAACTATGAATCCAGCTAAAGTTTAAAACACAGTTAATCGAATTCTGGAATGATGGAAGTAAAGGTGAAGAAAAATTTTTTTTATTAACTTATTATCTTAAATATTGTAATGAATGTAACTATATTCATCCAAAAGTACAAACTCAGTCAATCTACTTTTGCTTCTAAAAATTCAAATAATTAGGGAAATTTGGGAGGAATAAAACAAAAGAGAATTCATTGTAATAATATGCAAAATATATGTATTTGAGACGTAATTATTTAGACATTAATTTGGAAGTCTTTATCTCCCCCACCCCTACCACACAAAAAAGTAAATGTCTATCTACTTCGATAGCTGATTGTATATTTTTTTCTCCTAAGCGACTAAATAACATATAACCTTTCGTATCAGACAAAAGAAAAATAGAAAAACACCCTACAAGAGTCATAAACAAGGAAATAGCAAAATGAGACGGAGATCAATATATACTCGAGCTGAAGAAAACAAGATGGATTCCGCTTGTGGGAAAATAAACTAAAGTACAGCGGTGACTTTGATTCAGTTATTGAAATCACCGTCGCGTGTGCTGAAATTGTCGAATCCTTCGAAATAATTACAACCGTACCACAGCAAAGGCTCTGCTTCCAAGTGCATGAAGCCATTGTTAGGATGATTTAAGCCTTTCTTTGAAGTCAGATCGGCAATCAGCAACGATTCGCTCTCGACATTATGAACCATTGTGTGAGGTGCAAAGAGATTCAGTCAAATTTCCCGGGAGATCCAAACGACTCAAACAAGACCAATTTTCGATCCAATGCTCCAAAGAATTGCCTCAACATCTCGATTTAAAATTCAAGCATAAAACAATCGAAGAAGAGATGAATTTGTGAGGAATGATTCTGGCCCCAAAGCTTTTCCTCAGGGCTTCTTTGAGCACTCGACCTTTATGTCTTGTTCCCTTACCGTAAAATTGTATTCTCCACGATCACCAGTGTGCTTCAATTTCGCGCCAACAGTCTCTAGACTTGAATAGATATCCTTTTTTTCGATCTAGTTAAGTAATTCGGACTATCACACGCGCCCAAGAAAAGCTTCCAAGATGATTTCGCTAGAATTCCGTTTTTCAATGCCTGCCATTATTGCATGAAGTAATTAGAATCAGAATCGGACATATTAGCCACGCGTTTTGTTGTGCAATTAGGTGCTATTGTTCAACCAACCAATCAAGTCTCGCCGGCTTATCAAACATGAGACCTAATTTATGATTCCACATAGCCGCTCATTAATTCTATCCAATCAACAATTAGTATTCGTAGGGTTATGCCAATCAACGCATTTTGATGGCTTTTCGGAATGATCCGCGAGCCAATGATAAGAGACGAATTAGCGAAAATTAATCATTACTGGTGAAGTTGCTTTCATACATCGACTGCTTCGTTTCTTGAGAGATCGGCCTGAGACAGACCCTTTTCATGTTTGAACAATGGATTGTGACGTCATCCCGTTTAAAACAGTAGATAACGCATTTAAAAGCCAAGAGCTAAACCAAGAGTTGTCCAATAAGAAGTCAAAGCCTAAATATAACCGAGACTTTTGACCCTTGAGGCTTGTAGAATTCTCTTATCAACCACTGAAAAAGATGCGTGTTGTAATTAATGAGCAAGCAGAAATGCGGCTTTCGTTTGGCGCTAATTCCCTTTGTCAACAGTTCAAGAACAAAGAATAAATGGCATTACAAAAAGGAAAGTGTTCTGGCAACACTTCGTTTATTTGACAGTGAATCAATCTTAAAAGTTTGAAAGCTGACGTATTTAGACAAACTAAATTTCTGTTTTTATTCAGTTTTCATCTCAGTTCATTTTCAGTTCATTTAGACCAAAAAAATAATTGCTTACTCATTTAATTCGTATATTACGTTAATTTAGTTGGAAATATTAATTTATTCTCTTGAAACCAAATACTCTTTTGTTTCGGTGCAATTTCAATTCCAACCCTTCTTTTTAATTATTCTTTGAGTATATTTCATTATGCTTGCAAAAAGCAGTGCCGTGGTTATCAAATGGACTTCGTTCCCTCTGAAATTATCGAAAAGTACATTAGTCACTCTACTTTAGTTCAGTAGTCACAACAAAATTTAAACGACATTGAGCAGGGAGGAACGGATCAGGGAAGAGCGATATAAAACGGAAAAACATAAGAAATAGCTAAGGAGGTGGAATATTTTTAAATACAAATAATAATATAAATAATAATATGAATAATAATAATTAATTAACTAATAATTTAATACCTTTAAAAGTGCCTGTTCCTCTCCGGCTCATCATAGTTGTCTGTTTTGAGGAAATTGTCACGCGAAAACTCGAAAGTCTTCGCAAGCTCACTTTGAAAATTAAAACCACTTTTTGAATTGTCTGTCAAATTTTAATTGATTTAATTATGCGATATTATATGTTAAGTTGTATCTCACATCTGAAAAAAATGTTTATTATAGCTCTTCTTTATACTTCCCAGTGTGCATTTCCCAAACGTCCACTCTTCACGCCTTGGACCCGTCTCTTATTAGATTCCGGCTGTTCTGTTCTATTCTAATCCCCAGTCTCTTTGTTCTCTATTCTATTCTTTTTATCCATATTATTCCATTCGATTCTGTTCTATGTTCTACTCCTTCTTCTATTATCTATTCTATTCCTTTATTAAATTCAATTCTTTAATTTATTTTATTCCCTTTGATTCTGTCGCATTTCTAGAGTTAAAGAATTTAACTCGAGAAATAAACTGATAACTAGTCAACGTGTAATAGTCAAATAGATACGAAACGATGGATTTAGGGTCTACTGCTGTGTATTAGTCGAATATCTATTTCGCGGGTTTAGTGATCCATTTTGTTCCTCTTATTCTCTATTTTATTCCGTTCTTCAATCTATTCTCAATTTCATCCTCTTTTCCTTATTTTATCTTCTTTTAAGTTTTTCCCTCTTTTTTGCTTTTGCTTTCTTAATTCCCATTATTCCCATTTTTCGCGCCAAAAAACTTTTCCTCCTTAAGTCTTGACTTAGTAGAAACTACGTAGTTGCGTACATGCAAAAAGGGGTAGCCCAACCTAACTAACTTCAAGAAACAACAAATGGATTGAAAAGGATAAACATAATACCAATCAAGGAACTTCTAGATATCAAAACAATTTATTAGAATAGTATATCAAATCACTTGCATCGCGCTATTATTACAAATATAACAAATTTTCTATATACATAGCTTCTGGTCAGTAATCATTCCAGGAAATTTCCAAGATGAGACACGTTATTGTCTCACTGTTTCATTTGGTTGTTTTGGAGATATATATATATATATATTGCGTTAAATAATTTAGAAATATATGGGTTGTTCATAGTCTAAGACTTCTCTGTTGCTTTAATCGCTCGTAGCGTCGTTTGGCTTCCAGTCTGTGTAGCTGGTTTTGTTCTATTTCTTCCTGGCTTGGGTGCCACAATTTGGACAAAATTCGTTCGATATTCACTGCGTAGACTGTGTGTGACGGAAGAACGCGTCGATGATTCTGAAGACAAAATGCAAAATATATATACAGTTAATAGATTCGAACAGAATGAATGTAATTTTTCCCATTTTTCAGACCCCGTGTCATACCCTTGAGTATCATTTCTTTGTTTACCAGTAAGGCTTGAGAAGATACGCGTACATCAATATGGAAGTAACACGAACAAAAAATCATATCCTTATATTCTACTATTCGTAATATAGCAGTCATTTTATTTTTCAATGGCAGTAAGGTTACATTGATTGGATCTCAGCGTTAGGCAAGGTTTGCGCTCGTTCACGAAAACCTAGTTCTCGCCGCGGTGCGACGCAGGAAAAAGCGCAATCATGAAAATTCCTTTTCAGTAACGGGCAGAAAGGTTTTATTGGTTCGATATCAGTGTTGTGCATGATTTGCACTTCCGCAAGCTAAAGCGCAAGGATGGAAATTCCGCTTCAATAGCGGACTTTAATGTTATCATAAGCAAGGATGGACATTGTAATAAACCTTGTGCCTGCCTGCGCTCGTACAATAGTTAAGCAACCAACATATTTCTTAGCCTCCGTCAATAGCAGATATTAAAGTTAGCTTCTATATACCCTGATAAAGAAGTCATTTTCTGCCCTCCCTTCTTGCTTTTTGTTGGGGGAGAAAAAACAGCCTGCAGCTCAGCCCGCTGGAGGGGAAGAAAAACAACCTCTGTTTGCAGGGTAGTTTCTATACATTTCATTGTATTGACCCAAATGCGTTGACTTGAAGCAACAATTGTTTGAAGGCAATAGAGTCTCGAGTGGTTTACCTGTAAAGCATCTCTAAGATCATAAGGAGAAACGGGAGATTTTGATGTCCGATGATCGTCTGTTGATGCTACAATCAAGGCTGCTTCAGCTGCCGCCTGCTGAAGTGTCTTCCCATGATTGTTATTTACAGCAGGTTGGCTGGACCTGTATAATAATAAACGTGAGAGGAGCATATTAAATGCTGTGGTTGGTGTCTTTGTGGAAGAAGAGAATTATTCTCACTGCCCAGGGCACTACATCCAACCATCCATCTATCCATTTGTTCGTTCGTTCGTTCATACATTCAATCATTCATTTATTCTTTCCTTCCTTCATTCCTTCCTTCTCTCATTTGTTTCTGCTTTCTTTGCTTTGCTTTTTTTTTGACTTGTACTTTCTCCTTCTCTATAGTATTTTGTTGTTTCCTTTCCTTGCTTCTCTATTTTTTCCTTCTGTTTTCTTGTCAATTGCTTCACATGTTTTAATAACAATGTGTCTTCTTCTACAATTCCATTCTTGATTCAAGGGATTTTCTCTGGAGTTTCTTTGGCTTTCCTCCTTCAGCAAAACTCAACATGCCAAATCCTAATTCCATCTGTGATATAATCATGCCCTGACTTAGATCAGCTTATGATTCCATATATTTGATTGATGTGTATTTGTAGCCTGTGTAGTGGCACTTTGGGGGAGGGGGGCCTGCACTCCCTTCTCTTCCCTCCTCCCCTGTCCCCTCCCTCCCTCAGAGTACAAACAATGTCTAAACCCACTTTTCTATTGTTCTCTCATCAGGAGGCCACTTGACTGTACTGTTAACCAGGTGCATTCTTGGATATGCCGTTCCCACAACATGCCGGAAGTGACCATCACGTAATCGATAAGCACTCCTCTTTGCACAGCAAATCGATAAAATGTCTTTTATGAGGTACTAATCAAAAGAAAATACCAAATATTAAAGGCAATTCATTTAACCAAGTAAGTTAATTAGTACTCATATCTAATTGTAAGATTATTGTTCGGTTAAAAACATAGAGCATAGAAGTCAAGTCCCAAAAAGAAAAGAAAAAGAAAAGAATTGGAAAAAGAAAAGAATAAAAAGGAAGGGAGCAACAAACAAAAAACCTATAAACCTACCTCTGTTGCAAATTGTACCAAACTAACTGTTTCATCAGCTACATTATCAAGCCCTGCATCCCAAGCACCAAGGTACAGACGACCATGTATTGTAGCTGTGTCGGGTAGCATTAAATCATAAGAACATAATCCTATCTCACAGTCTTCATTGATATCTGTAACGCAAAGCCAAAATCTCATTAATAATGGAAAACAACGTTAACTCTGCAAATAATTATGATGCAGCAATGAGGAAGCTTCTCCATTCACAAATAAAACTTACCCTTATTTTTTTAGGTGGCAAGCGCATGTCCAGATTTACAGTTATGAAATGAAAATAAGAAAAATCTTCTATTAGTGCATTTATCAATATTTATCATTTTTTGTGTGATATGATATGCACTATTAGTTCAACTAACAATTTTGAAAACAAATAATAAGAAAAAACTAAGATCAAGAGTAGAATAGCTAGTACATACCTTCAGGGACATAAGTGGTGCATCTTTGAAAGGATCAGCAGGCACAAAACGTTGCTATAGAAACAATATAAAACCATTTTAAAAAAATCATCCTTTTTTCACAAGGGTAGCACTTAATAGCCAGTGGCTAACAAACCTGAGGCCCTCATTCTGTGATCGAATTGGAATTTAAAAGTTGATTTTTGTGGAGGGAGGAAAACCGGAGAACCTGAAAAATTCTCGAAGCACAGGAGAGAACCAACGAACAACTGTACTCATATACAACACCGAGCCTGGTGGGACTTGAAATGGGGTCACATTGATGAGAGGCGAGCACTCACACCGCTGTGCCACCCATGCTTCCCAAATTATGTTTCCTCTACATATATTTACAAATTTTATTAGTCAAGCTTTTGCACCTCTAGTTCATTATTAGGCAGTAGTGAAAGAGCTTTTTTACAATAGCTAGAATCTATGTGCATGCACAATCAATCAGCTCATAAGCAAGCCAAGTGTTAATGAATGTAACAACATAATAGAATTTACAAGAAACTGGTTAGATTCTTTACAACCAGGATAGTGTCTCATCATTTCTAAGATAAAATCAAATGAAGTTCAATTTGTTTGACCTGGTATTAATTTTTTTTAAAATAACAAACAAATAACATATTGAGGATAAAACACAAACCTCAAAGTTTGTCTTGAGTGACTGTTTCTGTCGTTTTACTTTATTCTTTTTGATAAGTTGAGGTTTTTGAGGTGGTTTTTGTGGAGTTCTTGGGTGAGAAGCTATAGAAAAGTAGAAATTCATGATGATGGTAGAATATGTTGAATAGGTAAACTGTTTACTATGATGGTTATTCACAAGCATTCCAAAGAGAGTCAAAGACATGAAAACCATGTTCCCTAAAATCTTCATGTTTTTCCACAATGCCATGAAAACCCTCTGATTGACATCCAACAAAAACCTATTTTGTTGCAATTGCAAATTCTATGATTTCATGATTGAAGAGATAACTAGCTAAAAACTAGTGTGAGCTACGTCAGTGTTTCTAATGAAACAGTAATAGCAAAAGGGCAAATTTTACATCGAAAAGATGAAAGGACAAAGGACCCTGAGGAAGAAATAGCGTCCAAAACGTCAGTTTTTTCATCTTTTCACAGTGTAAAATTTACCCTTTTATCATTGCGATTTCATGTTTGTTTTTGGGAAGCCATGTCATAAAGTCTTACCTGGCGTTTGTCCTAGAGCTTGACATTTTGCTAATATTGCCAGCAAAAAATTATTGTGAAAATGAACTAGAGGAAGAACAATAAGAAAATATTGTGTTTAAAACTACTCAGACTATAATTATTATCATCATCATCAGTGGTATCATGACTTATCATTTGCATCATCATCATTAATCATTGTCAACATTATCATCAACTATATTATCCTAATCATTTATCATTATACAGTCATTATCAACATCATCAATCAGTGACCATCATCAGTGTTATTATCATCATTTATCAAACTCATTAACACTTATCAGTGATCATCAACATCATCATCACCAGTCAATATGATCATTAGCAGTAGCAGTCATCGCCATTATCATCAGCAACAGAAGCAGTCATCATTATCATCATCATCATCACACTTACTATTGTTATTTCCTAAACATTGTGTTGCCTGTGTGTCAAGTTCATCTTTGCCAATCTATAGTAAAAATTACTAAATTAACACAAAAGCAGTAGAAGGACCAAGGGAATACAATACAGCATGTCAATACAAAATTGCATTGCTTTGATACTGTATTTCGCGAAGATTTTTTATTTGTCTTTTTTGGCAGTTTTTAATATGCGAACTTGATAGTTGTGAGCTGCAGGATTAAATTTAGTATTTTGCTCTATTTTTGTCTTTGTCAAAAACATTTGTACCTTTCATATTTTTGACTGACAGCAGTGAAAACCAAATTCCAACGGGCAACTCGAAAGTACTAAGTCCGCACAATAATGACTTAGTCAAAATATTCACAGACCAAATATTTTTATACAATATCCAGCACAACAATGTCTCTGTAAAGTTTTTTTTTTGGCTTTAGCTCTAAAAATATTATAAATAATTTAAAATAGCCCAAATTAATTAATTTTCGGTTTTTAATTGGGGTCATTGAAGCAATATACGATTTGTTAAACTTTAATTCAAGCTTAACATTTATTTGGGTATTTGTTAAAGAGATAAAGAAGAAAAGATAGCAAAACAAACAGGGTATTAAAACAACAAAATATAACCTTATTATCAAGATGATTCACATAGTAAAGCTAAGTAAATGTTTCAAAATGCGATACAATTTACGACTTTTCTACGTAGAGAACTCACTTTTTGCTTGTACCAAAGTTTCATCATATTCCAATACCTAGAAAAAATACGGAAATTTTTATCAACGACAAAATAGCTAGTGTTCATACATTCCCATATTTAAGGTATTAGAGGTACTAACGTCTCTGAATTATCTCCTAAAGCCTCCATGAGTTGCCTTCGACAAGTCGCCAGATCTGCCGCCATCTTGGATTTTTTTCTTGTCAAAAGAAAACCCGCTGACATTATCCACCACAGGCAACCCAAAACAAACCCATTTTTCGAATCCTTCGTCATAGGAGTTTTCTATGATGTCAATCGCGCGCGCTGTGTTTTTCATGAGTTTTTTGATTTCATGGTGTAAACTGTGCGAAATTTGCTCTCTCGTCAAAGTCTAAGGAAATCTACTAAGTTTAATTTGTTTTTGTCCCCAGTGTGTTGGTATGGTATGTTTTGGAAGCCAAGACCGAAAACATAGCAAGGTGAGTTCACAGGAAAAAACTGCTTTGCGCACGATTTAGAAACGTTCTCGCTTTTCCGATTTACGTTTGAGTTTCTATCACTTTCATTTCATGGTATTATAACATTACCCTAAAAAGTTACTCAGCTTCGTGCTAGTTTTGCCTTACCTTTTCCTGCGTGACTGAGGTGGGTAATACATGTTAATACTGCCCTCTTGTTAAAGCTTTAGTCATTAAAAGTAATGAACTCATATTGCGCATGATTTATTGATATTTATTAATGTAAATCAGTTAATAATTAGCCAATAAGCTAATTATTCTTTTTCGTAAACGCACTTTTGACGCAAAATTTAATCCATGTCATTCTCTAGAGTATCTATCATTTTTTAAACGGTGGCACATGAGAAGACACAAAAATACAGATATAACCCAAACAAAGAATCTTATTTTCAAGAGAATGATAAGTGGTCTGAAATGGGGAAAAATTACGAGATAAAGAGGGCTATGTATTATTTGACCACTTAAACCAATAGTGTGGTCAGAAAAATGCGCATATAGCGAAATTTGCGTTGAGGTATCATATTGATGTTTTAAAATATGCCAACCAGAGCTCTATTGGCTGCAGTAATATGAGCAACAAAATCGCGCAACTAGTCCACAACGGAAGAAATTCACTTATAAGACAACGAACACAAAATTAATTGAATTTGTAGTGCAGTTTTCGTATGACTGTGAAAAGCTCAGTGCCGTAAGCGTGAGGTGCCGTGACCGTGATGCTTTCTAGAATTTTAATTGGCTGATTTTTTCACGCGCAATGTGATTGGTCTTGGAGTGCAGTGACCTTGGCGTGACCGTGTCCGCGCCGTGTTTATGCCGTGTTCCGGGYATTTGATTGGATGGAGAGTAAATTCTCGTGCAATGTGATTGGTCTGGCGTATCCCTTGCCGTGTCATGGYCGTGTTCGTGCCTAGAATTTTTCACAGTCATACGAAAACTGCACTTGGCGGCGGTTGAAATATTATTGTCGATTTTCCCGAGCCCATCGGCTGTGATAACTTCGAAATTGATAGGTTCTTAAAGCTAATTATATAAATTCCGATTTATTTATTGAATTATTTATTTTAAAAGTGATTTTATAGTATGCATGCAAACTGTTTGGCAATGTTAATCGAGATTTTGATTTCAATGTTTTAATTCACTAATTTATGCTAGAAATCTTAGCCAAATATTTTTCTGCGTTTTACCGATTTATAAATTAGTGCAAACTGTTACGCGGCAAATTGCAGATCAAAAGTTGCTCGTATTACTAACCGCGCAGCTTAAGGTGTTTCGATACAGTTTCGTGATCACCAAAAAGAACTTTTTCAATCGTCGCGCTGACAATGTTCTGTTTGCTGGATCATTTTAGAATTCATACCAGTTGTTGCTCTTGGTTTGAAGTTTGTACTAATGTATATTTTATTAGAATCAAAGTTTTCAACGCAAGAAAATCGAGAAAAATCGAAAATTGGAAAAAGTAAAAGTGCGCGCGATTCAGATGTGCTGTAGAAAAACTGTTAACTCCTAAGAATCCCCAATTCATGGCAAACAGAATATCAAGTTTTTAAAGAAATTCTTATGTTAGATTTGGAGAAAATCGCACGAACATTTCATACTCTAATTTTGGTTTATCGTATTTACGCACTCGGTTTAAAAAATTGCTATTGAATAAAATTATTCAAAAATGTCCTAAAATGTTGCTGTTGCTCTTGTTTTTAAACTTTGTAAGTTTGGTCAACTATTTCCTTGCTGGTCTTGAGAACGAATTTTTTTTCGAAGAGCGTTTTTAGTGTAAAGATTTAGCAAATCGTCGACGTTTTGCGTTTTCCACGATTTCTCATAAACGGCTCGAACGATTGTTTTTCTTTTTCTTTTTTTTTTCTTCAGTTTTTCTACAGCACATCTGAATAGCGCGCACATTTATTTTTTCCAATTTTCGATTTTTCTCGATTTTCTTGCGTTGAAGACTTTGATTTTAATAAAATATACATTAGTACAAACTTCACACATCATAGTTAATGATAGACACAGACATAATACAAGGACTTCCACAACCAATAATTTATCTATACCTTTTTATCGCACGAATGCTGGCCTTCGCACTTTTCATGCAAGTGCTAATCGATTATGGAATACAATAGATTATAGCACCAGAAGTATTATAGCTTTGAATAATTTTAGAAAGAACATTAGTAATATGTACTTAGAAAAGAATTCTAAGGTCGATCATTTTAATATTCAAAGAACTTTTTGAAAATATATTAGATGGATTTTTTATATTATATATATATATATATTATTAGTTTCTATATATAAATTACTATTCTTCTCTTATAGTTAGATTTAGATTTATAGTTAGATTTTATATGATATTTTAGTATTTATAATATGGACCACAATGAAAACTACTGGTTCGCTAGTAATTGTGTTTATCCAATAAAGTCATTATTATTATTATTAATCCGCCCCACTAACTATGCTCGCACGCATCTTCTGTACTATATAGTACAGAAGATGCGTGCGAGCATAGTTAATGGAGCGGATTAACTATGATGCGAGTCAGTTCAAAGCTCCATGACTTACCTTTTAGCTTGGATGAAAACCAAGAGAGCAAATCTTGGTGAATTCGAATCTTCAGTATGATTCGTTATGATTGTAGATCTATTGCCAATTTTTAATTTTTTTTAATTACTTAACCGAGTTTTTCCTTTTTGTTTTCTCTTAAACGGCCCATCAAGAAAGATTGTGTTTGTATTCACTATACTTTACTACTACTAATTTACTGAATAATTCATTCAATGTAAGGATGAAGGGTGTTGCAGCTATTATATTCAAAATCGTACTATTCAAGAACTTGAATCAAATTCTTCTAATTTATATTGATGATTTTAATGATTTTGTAATCCGCACCTTTTACCCGCACCCGCAACTTTTACCCGCACCCGCAACTTTTACTCGCACTCGCAACCGCACCCGCACTTTTTAGCCGTGACCCTCGACCAAAAGTCAAACCCATTTACAAATGTAAGGAGGTGAACAATCACAACTTTGACAGTGAACATGCCACCATTTATATGCAAAAAATGCATGTAAAAATGCATGTGAAAAAATACATGTGAAAAAACCCACACACAGATGATTCCATGAAATAAATATTTGGCTGCTAATGGTCTATTAATATCTATATTAGGTAGCATCGATAGGTCACGTGACGCTATCATCATAAACCAAGCAGTCGTGTCAAAATCACATCCAAGGAATGAAGAGAGCACCATTTTCTAGCTCAATATTACATAAAATTTAAAACAAGCAATAAGCCATATACATCCCGAGGCCCGCTGGCCCGAGGGATGTATAGGCTAATTGCCGACGCTCGAGGTAATTAAGTATTTTATTCATCAATTGAGAAGGTTTTCTATCAAATTTTTATATATTTGACTTAAAAATAAGTAAAATGAATAAATAAAGATTAAAAAATAACCTGCATGAGGGGGACTGATGATTGAACTGAATTGCTCATCATAAATGCAAAGTCAATATATATATATTTTTAAAAATAGTTATATTGACCTCGCATTTATAATGAGGGTTATAACAAAAATAAAGCCTTGTGAATAACAAAGAAAACCGTGTCAATAGCACTAAACACATCTATTTCTTTTGCTTTCGATTGTTTCATCGGTGCTATTTTGTACTAATTAGTGAATACCATCTCACGAATAGGCACTCTAATAGTAAGATCCGTCACCTTGCCGTGCCGTGACCTCTACTTTGGTCGTAAGCGTGACGGGGCCGCGACATAACGACGCCGCGACATGACGACGCCGTGTATCGTTACGTTTCACTGCACACACACGCGACACAGGGAACAGAGGGGGGCACTTATCTTCCATTGTCATATTATTTAAGGTGGCTCGACCCCCTCACGCTTGACCGCTACCTTCCACTTTTGGAACGCTAGTGCATAAACGTCTTTTATCC